AGGCGAGTGAATTACACTCACCCTCATAGTTCGAGCCGACATGTGACAATGAAACTGTCACACGTCGGCTCACTAGATCGGGAAGTGAGCGAACATATACCGTCGCTCGCTCACTTCTCGATCATTTCCCTATCTAGAGGCAGAGCCGGCTGTCACTCACACAGCTGGGTGGATCTCAAAAGTAATGTTGGGATCTGTCCCGGCTGAGACGGTCTCAGTATACCACGAGCTGTAGCCCGCTATATACTGAGCTTTGTGTCACGGGAGGACGCTTGTATATGTCCTCACGTGACCCTCAAGAGAACTATGGGAAAAACACTTACCCCATAGTTCTCTTTTAAGTGTAGCTCTCTGGATTTTAAAAGGAGAATTATGAGGTGAGTGCTTTTTCTAATCTGAGCCGACCTGTGACAATGAAACTGTCACAGGTCGGCTCAGTAGAGCGGGAAGTGAGCGAACACATACCGGCGTTCGCTCACCTCTCTACTGTCACTGCAGAGAGTCGTGACTGGATTCTCCCCTCCCCCGTCCGATCCTCCAGTGGGTACAGCTGGCTCTGCCTCTAGATAGGCAGAGCCAGCTGTCACTCACGCATCTGGGTGAATCCAGACACAATTGTCGGGATCCGTTTCAGCTGCAGCATCTCAGTATACTGCCAGCTGCAGCCATGCACTAAAGAGGAGTTTCTGCTTCACACCATCCTCATGCCCCCCCTGTTCATAAATAGTATAAAACAGACATTCTGAGAATGAGCCCCGTTGAGTTGGCGCGGTATGTCTACCTCGCTACCTGCATTTCTATGGACACTGACGAGAGGTCCCGCCCTAACCCAAACCGCTCGGCTCTGGGAGCTTCTTGGCGGACTGATATGAGTAGCAGGGCAGGATTAGTACGCACTACTAGAGTGCGCGGCACTCTCTGCCCGAGGTCCGGGGACTTTCCCCTAGGCGGAGCTGAGGAACGTACGTCCTCTGTGCGTAGCCTAGACGTCAGGTCTTCAGAACACCTGACACTGACGTCGGTGTGCAAAGTTTATATAGCTCGGGTAACATTGACAAAGACAACTTATAGTGACCCAGGTGAAGTCATAAATGGAGTGCAAAGTTGTATATTTGTTTGTAGCTAAGTATCTGGTTACCCTACGAGGTACCTGAACTATAACAATGGATTCATTCAATAATAAATTAAACAGCCAACCAGACGCGCAATGTAAGCTGGGTAATATACTGTTTACATATGCAATTGTCTAATGTGTCGGCCATGAGAACAACCAATGAGACTGCGGTTGTCACTGATAACACTTCCGTGGGTGTGTAGGTGGGAGGAGACTGCGAGCAGAGGAGATGGAGTAGGAATTGTTCGCTTGCATTGTCTATGTGCAGGGGAATTGGCCTGTGTGTTATGGTGTCGCTACCTAGGCTATCCACTTCTAATATGAACTACAGAACACCTCGCAATATCCAAAACAAAGGGGGAGGCGTTCTATAGCCTTCAGGTGTGAACTGGCCAGGGCTGACAACAATGTTTGGGATTTTAGTGTGGCATAGGCAAAGTGCACAAGAAGTAATCAGCTCACTGGATTTCTGGCATGATCAACCGCAGTTTTTAACAGACCAAAAGGGAAGTTAAAAGTGTCCACCCAGACCTCGGTACCCTGGTTTGTTGCGTTAACATGTAAAAATGCGTCAATGTGCATTGTGTTATGGCAGCCCATTGAAATAAATAGGCTGGCATGTGCGCATGTGCCGTTACCAGCAATGGGTGTTATGTATAGCAAATGTTTGTCATAGTGCCATCTTGTGGTTCATTTTGTTTATTGCACCTCCTTGCCTGTATAATGGGACACTCCTTCCTGTGTTCCTGTGTTTCATTCAGCCAATTTCTGGCCCCATTTGCACGAGAGAGGAAGGCATTACCTTTTTTTGACCTGCAAATACCGTCATTTCAACCATCTTCTACATCCAATTGTTTGCTAGTAGCCTGCTGCATTCAATAAAGATCTTCGTGGCTGAAAGGTATTTGGCGAGTTGAGCTATCTGATGAAGATTGTCTTCGGTGACTATCTGTTACATACAGGCCAGGCGTAGAGGTCTCAGGAAGGGATAAATCACGTACACACACACACTCAGCTTTTACCATTCATTAATGGATGCCCTTACTACAAGGGCATTCATTAATGAAAGGGTTAACCTTTTTCAGACACCCAATACCTTAATATCGGGTGCCTGAGAGTCACAGCAAAGCAGACTCACATGTCGGCTTTTGCCGGCATTCTGACAGCTCGTATAGATCGAGAGATATCTCTCTCAAGCTATACTGGCTTTTTTTTTTCTTTCACTTTCAGGAATAGACACATAATGTATCTATTCCTGAATGAAGAATGTTTCAGTTCCTGATCGTTGTTGCAACAATCAGAAAACCTTTAGGCTGAGTTCACACCTAGGTGGATTGAATATGCACGTTTTTTGCGCGTTTTTTTTACCGCTATGTGCGGTAAAAAAAACGTGTGAAAAACGCGCGTTTCCGAGGGATACATGGCTGTATCCCAATGGAACCGCCCGACCAAAACGCCCCAAAGAAGTACATGTACTTCTTTGGGCGTAGGGCGGTTTCCCGCACGTTCGTACTCGCGGAAAACCGCCCAGATGGGAACCATGCACATTGAAAATAATGGCATTTCCCTGTTTGAGCATTTTTCCGCGAGTACGAAACCGCGGAAAAACGCCTAGGTGTGATCCCAGCCTTAGTGACAGCTGAATCCTGAACTGCTGCAGGATCAGTGTCACTAACTTATTATCGGCTGTTCTGAAGTTTGAAGCAGCCTGATAATAACCAAAAATTTATTAATTTATCATGCAGTAACAGTGAGATTAATTCACAATGACTGCTTGATATAATTAAATAAATAAAATAACCTTTTTTAAGTTGAAAAAAAAGTGAAAAGTGAAAAAAAAATCGTGAAAAGTGTTTAAAAAAAAATGTGTAAAAAAAATAAAATAATGGACAAATAAATAAATGTATTTATTGCATTTTTTTTTAGCTGTGCTGGTTTTGTAAAAAAAATACTACAAATCAAAACTGGGAAAAAAGTGTATTTTTTTACGTTTTTTTCCTCTTTTTTTAAATATTTTATTTGTCCTAGTGAAGCGTTAGACACACATACGTTAGACACACATATGTGATATAAATATATAGCCCTATTTGTCCTCTAAAAAACAATATATAATATGTGTGGGTGCACTTTGTAAGAAAGTATATTACTGACGTGGAAGAATCACACAGCAAAAATGTCAAAAGTGTGTCAGTCATTTACGAACAGAAACTAAAAACAAGCTCAGTCATGAAGGGGTTAATGATTCATATGAAGGAGACTGACTGGCACAGAAAAGAGACCACGGGAAGAAAGAAGAAATAAAAATCTAGCACAGTATGGCCCCGTTCCCACTGCGCGATATGCAAATCGTGCGTTTGTCGCGCGATTTGCATATTGCGCGACATGGCGAGATTTGCCGCGCGATATTGCGTTCAAGCTTGCATTGAGCAAGCTTGAATGGCGGCTAAATCTGCTCCAAAAAGGGTCCTGCTGTAGCGACACACGACCCGCAACAGCAGGACCCTTTGCCCCTTTGAAATGCATTGGAGCGCGATATCGCGCAGTAATTTGCCGCGATATCGCGGGAATTACCGCGCGATAAATCGATCAATGTGAACAGGGCTTAAGGGTCACCATACACGTTACAGTCTGACTGTACAATCAATTTAGATTTACCAAACCGATGTAATACAAGGACCTGCCTAATCTATCACATCAGACACAACAATTGTAGTCAGATCTGATGAAGCTTGTCCAATCAGATAGTAATGTGTGGCGAGAGGAAATCACAGCCCTATAAAACCGCTTCTGGATTATGTACAGAGAAAAACAACAATTGAATATGTTTGCAAAGCTGATACATAGGGTCAGGTCATACGAAATCTAGTTACATCTTCAGATTTTTATTCTATCTTTGTATAGAAATGTAAATATACAAATCCACTAATGTTTGGGGGACTGTCACAGGTGATATGCTAAAGGCAAACTGTTTATTGAATTATTAAAATGATTTTATACACATAAAACCACAAATTAAATGATACCTAAGCATTCTAAGCAGAAAAAAAAGCCGTCACTTTATGAAGACAGATGACATTCTCATATTAAAACAGAAATACAAAATATCTGAAAAAGTAATTTTTTTTTTTAAACATATAAAGTGTAAAGCGTTAGAACTGTGTACTGAAGAGTTGGGGTAAGAAAGTGTCTCATAGAAGATCCTGGGGGTTTCTTAATGCCGGAGGCAACTGTGGGGCGCGGGTCTCGTCATCCAAGAGAACCAAGTCTTCCACCTCCCGGCCGTTGTATTTCCTCTTACATATCTTCACCACCACTTTCTTCTTCTGAAAAAGTTTGATTGCTTCTCTAGATGCCAAGGCTCGGGCGCTCTCTCTTGTTTTGCCACAACCTATGCCAATGTAAACAGCCTGGCATCTCATTTCACACACCATGTTTTCCTGAGAAGATTTGTTTTGAGGTAATTCTGCCAATTCTTTTAGTGGCACAAAAGCAATGTCCAGTGTGGATTTTAGAGTCTTAACACATTCATCAAGTACCTCTGTATAGTCGAGGTTCGGATTAAACCCGCCCACAGACACCAGCTTCCAAGCAACCCTTTTATAGAGTTTGTTAAAGAAGGACTGTCGTTCCTTAATGTCCTGATCGGTGGCTCTGCGGGGGGGTTGCACAGTAGGCGTGATAAACGGTGATGTATCTTTCACCGTTTTCTCATCACATTCATTGCTGCCACTGCAAGCAGCAGAACTGTGAAAGCCTGGGCCTGTCATTTGCCCTTCTATGCCATGATCACCCTTCCAACCTACATCATCAGATGAATTCAAGCCTTCGGGAGGGTCGGCATCGCCTGCTGCTGTGCTAGAAATATCATCAGTAGATCTTTTCTTCAAAGGCTCCTCCTTCAGCCCTTCTGCAACATAAGGAAAGTCATGGTCAGTTTTGTACAGTAGCCCTGCAGTGAAATAGTCACAAAGCATTTCTCCAGTGTAGAACAAGAAGAGAAGGCCGTCTCATCATTAAAGGCAGCCTGTTCATTTTGGTTTGGCTGGCAGGGCACTAACACACAAAAGAGGGGCCCTTTGTTTGAACACTCCAACACATGGCATGTGCACGGCACTGTGGCTGTGTTGTCTGCTACTGTAGTTGTGCTTTGGAGTGATATTCTAGAAGAAGGACAATGCAGAAGTCTGAAAGTACCCTCAACGGTCCAGTTCAGCTGGCTGTCCGTCATCTGCAGTCTTCCTCCACCCAAGTTAGCTGCCATTGGCTGGGAGGAAGACTGCAGAGCTCCAATTGGCTGGCTGGCAGAACAGCGTGGGACCTGAAGGGAGGCTTCACGTCGATACTGTGCGTTCTGCAATGGAGAATAACACCAGCTACAAAGGACTACAAATCCCAGCAATAGTACATTATAGTATAATGTACTATTGCTGCAATTTGCTCTATTCCTCTGTAGCTGGCGTTATTCTGTGTTGCGACGTATAATCATTATGCAGCACACTGCAGAATACCACCAGCTATAGAGGACTACAAATCCCAGCAATAATAAATTATACAGCAATGCAGAATAACGCCAGCTACAGAGGACTACAAATCCCAGCAATAGTACATTATAGCATAATGTACTATTGCTGCGATTTGCTGTATTCCTCTGTAGCTGGCGTTATTCTGTGTTGCGCCGTATAATCATTATACAGCACACCGCAGAATACCAGCAGCTGCAGAGGACTACAAATCCCAGCAATAGAACATTATAGTATAATGAACTATTGCTGAGATTTGTTGTATTCCTCTGGGATTCGTTGTCTCCTTTAAGCAGTGGTTCTCAAGCTGTGGGTCGCTGGGTGACTTCTGCTGTGCTAGGTGAGAGTCCTCCTCAGCTCTTTCCTAGTGCAGCAGTGTCAGTTCTCCTGCCACGCCGCCAGATGTCGCTGCAGCAGCCGCGTCATCCCTAAATTTTACCATTGGGGGTCACCACAACTTGGCAAATGTTAACAAGGGGTCCCGGCCCTAGAAAGGTTGAGAACCACTGACATGGGGGATAACAATCCCCCTATATAATAGCACAGGTATACTGACAGGTCCTCTTTATGGAGAAATTAGGGGTCTCTAGGACCCCTAATGTCACCTGGGGACCCCAAAAGAAGCTGATATACACCAGCATATATACACGATCGGCTGGCTATAGAGCCGCCGATCGGGTATATGTTAAACAGCCGGTAATGGATCTATGCATTGCACGGGTTTTTTTCTGCCGCTAATGCAGCAGTTTACCCGCTAATGCAGCAGTTTACCCGCTAATGCAGCAGTGCCGTCCGTCCGTTTTTTTTCAAGGGGCGGACGGCAACTGGTTAAAGTGGACCTCAATCCCCTTTCATTAAAAATCACATAAGCATGCAGCTCTGAATACCGTTATGAAGTATCTTACATTCGTTGGTTAAATAAACATATTTTCCTTTCACTTACAATTACAGTTTTTCCACTTCCTGGTATAGTACCCTGTGCAAAAGAGATGCATCCTGGGAAGGTTAGCAGAGCATTGCTGGGAAATCTCATCTGCAATCTCACAAGATCTCAGGGAAAGGCATTTTCCTCCCCTGAGATGAAGTCCATGGTCACATGTCCTAGTCACATGTGTCAGAGTACAGATCTTTTATTGCATGGACCTTGCTTTGTTTATACTATCCTATCATTCAGCTTATCTAATTCTTCCAATAAAACTGCTACTTCCTTATACTTGTTAGCAGTTTTAGAAAGTGGATACAGCCAAGTAACTGAATTGCTCACCTTGATTAACCTCTTGATAAAATATTTATTAAGCAAATAAAATATATGATGCAATGCATGATCAAATATCATAAACAGATCAGTGTTGTGCAACCCCGTTCCGTTACAAAGACTGGGCTGACTCACTGCACAAACATGTGAAACAAATTGCTGTGGTTCAATCAGTTTTGAAAACGGAACAATTTACCTTCACACATATTAGATCCATACAGGTATAATGGACAGTCTCCTCATGGTGCCTGCAGGTCTCTCCAGCAGCTCTTTTTGCCCCTTATACATCTGGATGCCATGCTGTTCTGTACAGGCTCCACATGTTCAGAAAAGCCTGGCATTCAGTCACAAAATGCGTAAGAGAAGCGTAAGAGAAGCTGATGATGATGTATGTAGACAGTGATATGACAAATTGGGCCTAAAGGAACCACAGATCCCTCAAATAAACCAAAGCAAAGCACAGCGGCACCAGAACCGTTCTGTATGTGCATTTGGCCCTAGGGTTGCCACCTGTCCAGGATTCACCTGGACAGTTCGGGTTTCGAATGCTGTGTCCAGGTTTCATGGCAGCTGAAACTCGGACACAAGATGTCAGGCAGACAGGGGCAACCAAAATTGAGATAGGGGCTACTGGCCTCCCCACTGAAAATAGTGTCAACTGTGATATTTACATATTAATGGGTGATTCTATTTACATACGAATAAGCCGCAGCTCATTCTCCCAAAAATATTTCTGTGCGTCACTAGAGTGTTCGGGTTTCGATGGAAGAAAAGGTGGCAACCCTAGTTGGCCCAGGGGTGGAAAAGAATGCTATGCATGTCTCTGCCAACTTTCGTACATAGAGGAATATATCCCTTACTTTTTGATGGAAGTGAGAGATTTTTTTCAGAAGGCTCTACTGTTACTTTAGTTACCCTTCACAGAAAGAAACACAAGGCTTGCTATATGGTCATATAATCCATAGAGAAGGGGAGGATCAGCTTGAATGCTTATGATCCTTCATCTGGGATCATGTGACCAAATGCCTAAAATTTTGTTGACCGAAAATATAAAATTTCCAGCTCCAGTCCATTTCCAGTTCCAGTGGCAGGGTTCCAGAGAGGGCTTTTCCCTCACTTTCAAGAGATCCTCTTACAACTACTATTGTGTCTCTGGGAGAGAAAGTGAAGGAAAACCTCCACTGGGTAAAAAAAGCAAAAAAACATAAAAATAAAATAATAATATATACAGTGTGTGTGTGTGAAAGATTTTTTATAAATAGTAAAAACAAAAATAGAAAAAATCTGTTTACATTATAAAAAATGTTTTACATTATAAAGAATAAAACAGAATTGCCTGGCCTGTGTCAACAGGCTTTTGTTCACATCAGAACTGCTTTTCTCCCCTTAGAAGTAAAGCTGGATTCACACCAGATGCATTGCGACTTCGCTGGCTACTTTTCCAGTGCAGCCCCAAGGCTAGACTAGGCAATTTGCTTTGTTTCAAATGGGTTCTGCTCACACTGTGCTGTGGTGGTGTATAGTGAAAGAAACGCTTTATGCAGTACTTTTTCTCAGCGCAGCGGGGTGCAACCTGATACAACTGCATTGCACCGCACTGTGCCCATAGAACTTAATGAAATGTCACTTGTGAGAGTTCCAACAAAAAAAAAAAAAAGGTAAACAGTGCGGTGTGCCGGGATCGGCATATCAGCACTGTGCCTGGCACTGCACACCAGCTGCCTTGCATTAAAGCACAGCTGCTGGCGTGAATCAGCACTAAACAACAGCATTTGGGTGCCCCATTAATGAAAGGGGGCATCTAAATTCAGATAAGCCTCCCTGCCCGCAGACCCCCCACAACCACCAGGTCAGGGTTGTGGGGAAGAGGCCCTTGTCCTCATCAACATGGGGGGGTGGGGTTCCCTTGGGGTCCCCCCTAAAATTCCTACCAGACCTACAGGGTCTGATAGGAATTGGGGGGACCCCACACTTTTTTTATACTCTTTCCGTGGACTGTCAAAAGTGAAAAATAAAAATTTGATTTTTTTTTTCGAATGTCACTTTGCTGCAACAATAATGTGTTTCTAATTATTTAACGCATTCAAAATTAATAACATTTTTGATTCATCTGAATCCTGAACCGAATTGACTTTCGGACACGAATCCCAAAAAACGATAAATCCGAAACGCGAAACAAACCAAATTTTTGGCCGGCACACATTTCTAAAAGTTAGATGGTGGTGGGATGCTAAATTGTGTGATCCTCATCCGAAAACTACATAAGCATATTAACTTTTACTGTATATAGCATTACCTGACAATCTGATCCATCCAACATCTTAGAGACCAATTCATATATAATGCCTATGAGGCACACTTGAATATGATCTTTTGCATATCAGATATGGACACTGGGCCACCATAAACTGGATAGTATAAAGTACTTTACGTTGGGGCTGAGTTACAGACACTTAGCAAAGTGTATATTCATGTTACAAAGTGAATGTTAGTAAACAAGGTGAACCAGTGTTCACTTTAAATGTCACTATTTTAAATATACCCCTCACACATAATTGGATATTTAAAGTGAACACGGGTTGACCTTATTTAATAAAAGTCAATTTGCAAAGCAGACATACTCTTAACATTCTCTACTCCTTTATAAATCAGACCCACAATGTATTAGAAGCCCTCAGGGGCAGGCCCCTCATTACCATCCTTGTCTTGATTTGTACTGTAACTGTAATGTCTTCCTTATATTGTAAAGCGCTGCGCAAACTGTTGGCGCTATAGAAATTCTGAACAATAATAATAATAATGAATTAATTTACTGTACATTACATTGCGCCCCATTGCATTGGAAATACAACTTTCACTGGTAACATTCTTTTGGGCAATGCACTTTTCTATATTAGGGAATCGTATCCTGCACTGACCTGGCTACTTCTGTCTACAACAGATCACTCTCATCCTCCCTAGACACTTTGGCTCCCCTCACTACACGTAAACTTAGACCACGTCCACTACAACTGTGGCCAACAAAAGAAACCAGACATCTAAAAAGACATAGCTGGTCACCCTCTTACTCTATCCTACACTCTCTTACTCACATTTTCAATCTCTCACTCTCTACTGGCATATTTTCCTCCCCTCTAAAACATGCGCTAGTCACCCCAATACCCAAAAACCCCTCTCAGGACCCCAACCAACCTCAACAATTGCAGACCAATCTCCTTACTCGCATTCATCTCCAAACTCCTAGAACCCCTTATGTAGAGCCGTGTGAGCCGCCACCTCGCTGATAACAATCTCCTCGACCCCTTACAGTCCGGCTTTTGCCCTCTACACCCCACTGAAACTGCCCTCCTAAAACTCACGAATGACTTACTAATAGCTGAAAACAATCGTCACTACTCCTTACTCTTGCTATTAGACCTTTCTGTTGCTTTTGACACTGCTGACCACCCACTCCTCCTCAAAAAACTCCACTCGCTTGTCCTACAAGACTCTGCTCTCTCATGGTTCTCCTCCTACCCAGCTAAGCGCTCCTTTAGTGTCACCTACAAATCTAACTCCTCCCCTCCTCTTCCTCTGTCTGTAGGGGTCCCCCAAGGCTCTGTCCTCTGTCCTTGGACCCCTTCTATTCTCTATCTATACCTTCTCCCTTGGTCAGTTAATAACCTCACATGGTTTCCAAAAACATCTCTATGCCGATGACACTCAAATATATTGTTCCACTCCCCAACTCACCCACTCAGTGTCCTTGCGTGTCACTAATCTACTATCCGACATATCCGTCTGGATGTCACAACACTTCTTAAAACTCAACCTTTCAAAAACTGAGCTCCTGATATTTCCTACCGCCCGTGCACCTTCCCCCAACTTTTCCCTTGAGATAGATAACACAGCTATCCAAACCTCCCCTCATGCCAAGGTGCTAGGTGTCATCCTTGACTCGGACTCTCCTTTCTTCCCACATCCGATCACTATCCAAATCCTGCCGCCTTCACCTTTGTAACATCTCCAAAATACAAATTCCAGCACTTTTACATTAATATTTCATGTTGCTTTATCATGAACAATCCAGCACAGCCTCACTACTAGTCTCTTCTATACAGTATAGCAAAGTATTTACACCATCTCAGTGTGAATTAGGAGCCTCGCACAACTATTTTTCCCAGCAGACCTCGAACAACATTATGTGACTCTTTAACACAGCAATTTTACCTTAGTAATATCGTGCCTTAGAATTCAATTTAAAGCTCACTGGGCTTGTCATAGGCCTCATTCAACCCACATTGGATTTAGAAGAGCTGCTAATGTAGCATTTATTTTATCTGTGGCTGAACCACTTCTGCAGTGTGTAAGTCTGACAAGAGGTCATAGAAATCAATAGGCTATGCTGCAGATAACTCTCTGCCCCCAGCTATAAAGTGTAAACTGACCCATTCAACGCAATAAAAAGTTGAAGAACCAGCAAAAGAAGGGCAGGAAGGGCCAATACTGCCAGAAAGGGCCAAAGTGTCAATGGACCACAGCACACAAAGTACCAGTACATGCTTTTCTGTAAGGTCCATGGAGCCCCAACTGAAGAAAAAAGGGTAAAGGCTCAC